AGGGTTTAGGGTTTAGGGGAGTCTGATGCCGCAGGCCTCCTGTGCGCGAGATGGGCTGGGGTGGCGGCAAAGCGGTGTGCCAAGTTTCCTCGGGAGGGTGGCTGAAGGATGAGAGATTGCCAATTGCACTCCTCGCAACAGCTGCGCATGCGGTGTGTGGCAGGGTCAATAGGCAAGTTCGCTGTCATGCATTGGATGATCGACATCCTCATTTCGCGGGTTTCCATCTTCGGATGCTGCCTGCTGGATAACGATGAGCTCTGCAAGTGCCCAACATGACCAAACATGGATACGCAAGGCCAAGGGTGGCAAGGGCCATGCGCCCGTGCAGAAGCAGTTTCTGAAGGCCACGGCGTGGCTTTAGACTGCTGTGCCGGTTCTGATTCAGCATTCCGAAGAGATCCGCAATGAAATGCTTCTCCTTCAGGCGCCGATCATCCGACCGGCCACCGTGCGGGCCACGCCTGTTACCTGGTCTGCCGGGGCTGCCCGGTCAGGCCCCCCTGCGGGGCACCGGCCAGTGGTGGTGAAGCCCATGGTGCGGACGCCCTCGGCAATTAGAGCAGGAGCCGAATGGAAGGGACAAGTGTAGCCTGCACAGCTAGCTTCAACCGGAAGTCATTTGGCGGGTCCCTCATATTCCGAGTAATCGTCTGTGTTTTGTTACAATAATTGCCACCATCATGAGCATGATCAGATTCACCGCTGTTGCTACCATCCGGAGTTGTATCTATTGTCAGCAGTCTTGCTTCGTCGATTAGTAGCATCGCTGCGACGATAACGAGGACGAGGACGATGACTTCTTGCACACATTATTATTGCGAGTACTTGTACTAGTTATTTCTGATGGTATTAATACTAGTACTCGTACTCATACTGCTGCCACTGCTACTGCTACTGCTACTGCTACTGCTACTACTGCTGCTGCTACTACTACTACTACTACCACCACCACTACTACCACAACTATTAGTACTACGACGACGACTACGACGACGACTACGACGACGACTACGACTATGACTACGACGACGACGACGACGGCGACGACGACGACGACGACGACTACTACTGACGACGACAACAAAAACTACTACTGCTACTGCTACTGCTACTGCTACTGCTTCTGCTACTGCTACTGCTACTGCTACTGCTGCTATACTACCACTACCACTACCGCTGCCACTACGACTGCCGCCATCGCCGCCGCCGCCACCACCACCACCGCCGCTGCCGCCGCCGCCGCCGTAGCATGAACAATCACAGTTGCTACTTCGGGCTGCCATGCTTGACTATGCCTGTTGCAATTGCGGCCGTTCTTTGTCGGACTGTTTCCTTTGCTCTGCTCCTTGTGCGCTGATGCGTCACTACCATCTGCAGCAGACCGTGCTGTCAGCAGGACTGCTGGCTGGAGGCGGTGGTGCCAAGGTCCGGTCGGGTCTGCCTTGCGAGCTGCTATGGCTGCCATGGCATGCTGAGATAGGGCAGCTAGGGCTAGGGGCGTGGGCTCAGGCAGGATTTCAGGGTTTCGGGTCCCAGCATCTTCGCCGTCGGTTCGAAGAACTGAGGGCTGAAACCTGCTGGTTCAGGGATGGATCTACGAGAATTTCATGTGAGGACCGGTGTTTGTGTGTGTGTGTGCGTTGTCTTTCAAGGGGGGGTAAGCTGAGAACACAACTTGAGTTCTTTTTGTTCCGGGTGGTCTCGAGTCAAGGTGGAGCACGACAAGATTGGCCTGGGAGAACTTGCAAATCCTAGTGAGAGGTTCTTGCTTGAACCTGTGCGCTTCGTCGCTACTAAAGTAGTTGATGTTATCCTCCCATTTGTTGTTCAAAGAGTTCAGAAGAAGGCCAGGTGCCTCGATACCTCCTACATTCCACGCCTGAAGCCAACCCGTCATCCATCAGGCCCGAGCCCGACACCCTGGAGAGAGAAGTTCGTTTTGCTGAAGCTGGTCTGCATGCGCCAGCAAGTATAAGTAGTGGTCATGCCATGTGTACCACCATGCTTCAAATTCGGTCCGAGAAGCTCGACGCCCTGCCAGGGCAAAGGCCCGGCTGCCTTCGCTGTCTCGATGCCCGGCACATCTTACAGCTTTATGTTGATCCTTTTGTCAGTAGCACCTGCCAGGCTCACCCGCCCTTGTGCTCACATGTTTGTCACCTTTGCAACCAGCCCACTCGAAGCTTCCTGCCACAGACTCACAAGGGTTTGGAGCTAAATCCTGTCGACAGAAAGCTACAAGTGCCTGCAGGTGTTTCTTTGTATACAGACGCACATCATACATACATGCATTCAAGTGCATATGTTCTTTCAGTTACGCTGGTTCTTGTCGTCCAATGATAGTGGCGGGTCGTCGTCTCTGTTGTTGGCCTCGTTGTTGCCAGGTCGATTGTCGTCCTCCTTGTCTGCCGCTACAACAACAGCTACACTGTACAGCTACAACTACAACTGCGACCGTGACCACTGCGAAGACTACTACTGACACTAACCCTGCTCCTGCTACTGCAATGCTACGACGACGAACGCTACGACGATGATTGCGACGACGCCGACTGTCAGTATTACTGCTGCTGCCATCCCTTTCCTTTTATCGGGATGGCCAGCATCGGAACCCAGCATCAGTTAAGGTAGTGTTATTGCAGGCAGCATGACTATGCGCTGTACGCCCGCCACCTTGCTGTCATGTTGTTGTTGTTGTTGCTGTTGTTGTTGTCGTTGTTGTTGCTGATGTTATGAATATCCACAAGAAGTTTCATGCTCGAATAGTCAGGGAGGGTGTGAGACGGGGTCAAACTATCGCATAAGGATTTAGTCAGCGACGGTTGTCGAAGACGGTCAAAAAAGTAATGAGTCCCTGCTAAACGAGATAGGACGCCCTAAACACGATACCACACATACGGCAAGCATGCCGTAATGCAAACATGTAATACGATGCAGAACGCCGTAATCACAACGAAATGTAAGACACACACACACATATGTTTTGACGCCATGGCATGAGACGAGAACTCGCAATACCAGTGCTATGACAGCAGAATTCTGTTCTTTTGCAGAAGCGTGCGACAGACAGTCCAAACAGTTCCATTTTTCAACTAAAACCTGTATCTGTCGCAACTGGCTTAGACAGAACATGCCGGAACCTGCCTGAACTGGAGTCGATAGACCAACAGTTGTGCCCTCCTGTGTCAAGGGCCAGGTATTTTCGTAAAGAACGTAGATCCCTGAAACGGTCAGAACGGTCCTGATAGTCATGACTGGCGCGGCAGTCAAGGTGATTGAAGCTCTTCATTTTCCGCCAAAACCGGCAGGAGCATCTGAAACAGAAACCAACACATAGCTTGCAATCATGGAATTGCCATCCGAACAATAAGAGAACAGATACAGCCGCAAACCTCTATGTCGAAGCGGAGCAATTCAGTTTTTTGAAGAACAAGACATCAAAATCAAAGCAACCAATACGGCTGCTACGCCCGTGGTAGCTAGAATGATTGTTGCAGTGTTTTCATGACAATGGTGTCTCCTATGATTGCCATTACAGATGACGTGTCTGCCCACTCTTATGCCTTGGCCCACAGTCGCTGGAGTGCAGGACAAACACCTTTCGAGTTTGCGCCGGTTCTTCATTCATCTTTATTCTCCTTTGTAAACTCTAGAATCCAAAGACTTGCATGAAGTGACAGTCTCGCTATGTGTTTTTGAAAGCAGACGGTCGGCATTCGCTGTGCAAACGCCGCCTCGAACCTTTGAGAAGCTTCAGCACAGTAAAGCATGTCAGACAGTCTGAGCATATCAATCATGAACATGCACAAACCGGACAAGCCCTGTGCAAACAGAGGTAGGCAGGAATAGTAAAGAGCCGAATCGAGTTCCCAAGGGAACCGTAACCCACAGCAGACGCCGCCAAGGTTTGCACGAGTTGGAACGTGAATCGCAGATATGGTTCTTCGCAGTATGATGCACCGATGCGGGGAATAATGACTGTCAGTCGCTGACGACTCTGCTCGGGATGCAACAAACGACGAAAAGCTTTTCAGTTTTTGTGAACCAGCCCTGTTGTAAATGTCTCTGGCATGTAGGAAGAAAGGAGGAACCAACCTCTTACTCAGAGTTTCTGGGTCAAAATCCTGGGGCGATTCCGAAGGACGCAAGTACCTGCTGTAGTGCCTAGTGAGGGTATAGATGGATAAAGAAACCTTGGTGGTGAGCGGCCTCCGTTGGCCATACGCCGGTTGTTTCTGTGCACGGCCTGATAAGACCTCAAGCTCAAAGGTTGAAGGCTGTCGTTCGCATTTGTTCGGGTGGCGCTTTGAGCACAGGGTGCATTCGACTCAAAGTCGTTGGCACGTTTGCAAGAAGCCGTGAGGGCGAAACAGACAAGAGGAAGAGACGGACTATGCCGGAGGGAGAAGGAGAGTTGTTAGCAGCTTAGGCAACTCAATGTGCTACCAGTAAGTGATCGGTGAGAGATCCTGAATCTTATGCGAACACACGAGTTTGCTCGTCTCGAAGCTCAGACAAGTTATGTAGGCTTCGACCTCTCTTGCTATGTGTACTTGCCCAGGAAGGGACAGACGAAGGGACCACCCAAGGGTGTGGGCAAGGCAAAGCTAACGACTGGCAGTTGTCATTCTCAACTTGGCTTTTCAAGGGTGTCTAGCCAGGGTGCAACTGCTTAGTTCTGTTTTCCGGAGTAGAGTAGGGAACGGTAAGCGCAGAATTCAGTAAGCAATCGTAGGTTGGATTCGTGGCGGTTTTGCATTGCCTGAAAATGGCCTTATACCATCCATGCCAAAAAAAGAGGAGGCGAGGGTTTTCTGTGGATTGGTTTGCGGTTCAGGCACGGATAGGATGCCCTTAACCACAGCCTCGCCGGCTTTTGGGTTCCTCCAAACATAGGGTGCCCACCATGAGATTCTTTCAAATCTAGGTTGCTCGGATAGCATCAGAACCTGGCCCCGACAGCTTTGAAATGGACGTCAGAAGCGAAATCTACAGCTTGCTTTCAACACAATTTCCCGAGTGACTTTTGTATCAAAACCTTCAGCTTTCGTTTATTCATCCTGAACTTGGACCGCCGCCAGCATATTGCAACGCCGGGGAGAGCAGTTGCCACTGCCAACAAACTTTAAATAAGGCATGGCCACTGTACTTCCAAATGCCAATTAAACCTACACCTGTGCGGCCAAGCAGAAGACAGAAGAAACTCCCGAAACGATGGCAAGCGTCCGCATCCTCCCCCACATCATCCTACATATTTGTTGGTGCGTATGAGAGCCTGGACAACCGAGGGGCATCCACTTAAGGCAGTCGTTAAGATAAAACGTGGTTCATCCCACATACAGAGGACTTTTGCAAAGTGAGGGCTGGCGATGACGAACCGTTTTTTGGGTAGAAGAGCTGTTGCCCGTTCCGACAGGCCTAGGCACGTGCAGTGAAATTCGATAACGGCGACATGCACTGCTAGCATTTTTCTCGTAGGATCGCTGTTTCTATTTCTGTCACATGTGATGTTTTGCAGTGCTACTATGCCGACTACTTCTACAGTGTTGTTACTGGTACTATCATTATTTTAAGTCCGTAGTCTTCCAAAAGATCCAAAGGTGTCTTGGCGGATACAGTCGCGATTCCAATAGCGACTGCAGTGCTCTGATCCTTTTGACATCGGGTTGCCGTTGCGATTACCGCTCTTGTATGCATGATTCTTATTGCTGTCATTGCTTCTGCTACCAATGTCGGCGTTTTTGGTCCTTGCTGCTTACCTCAGATTCGTTTCTGTGATTACTAGTCTCGTGGCGACCTTGAAGCCACAGCCGCTCGCGGGGTTGGCAGTTCGACGAAACATGACAAAATCAAGAAGGCATGAGAGGCTGCCTTAGAAGCCACCACACACAGTTCTGAAAGTGTCTTCGTGCCCCCCCCTCCCCCCCCTCCCCACCTTGACTGGGCTAACACAAGCCCAAAACATAAAACCCCGTCACTATAGTCGAAGAGCCCTCCCCGATCTTCCCAATGGAAGGAAGCTTTTTAACAGGCCTCATCAGAAGCCTCCTGGGCGAATGGAGGCCCACAGAGCTGAGAGCTGAGGGGAGCGAAGGAGCGCCTCGACCCAGGGTTTGTGCGGAGGCTTCTGCGCGGAACAGTGACCTCTGGGTGTGTTTCGGCAGTGCGCGCGCATTTGAAGGCCATTTGCACCCGGTGCCAGGCAAAGACAGAGGCGACAAAGGCAGTGTCTGGGTCCCTGGCAAGGGGGCCAAAGGCGACAAAGGTAAGGGCAAGTTCAAGGGCAAGGCCGGGATCGTCTCAGATGCCATGGCTTTGACAGCCTGACGCGCCTGTCAGGGAAAGAAGGGGGTGCAGGTCTCAGCGATGTACATCCAGGTCAACTCGCTTCAATGTTGGTCTTGCAACCATGGCGGGTATGGTTCCGCCTCGGCTCATTAGACCAGTCATGCTGGTAATAAGCGTTTCCCGCCGCTCCGTTGTGTTTGCTTCGTGCCACAACTCAGACGGATCAACCTTGCATGCAGTTCATCTAGGCGGCGTCCGTCGAAGTTGAAAGATGTTGAAACGGTGATCAGTTTCTGCACGCCAAGGCGCCCCCTGCCCCGCCCGCCGACCACGAGTTCTGGCAGGTGGTCGATATGCAGCAGTGCAAGGGTGTAGTTGTGTGCCAAGGCGCCCCAAGATAGGATCTCACAGATTGGCCTTTGCAAAATCGAACCTCTCAAATGAAGAGAGTTTTCAGGATTGCCTGATTGACGTTCTTCTCGCGAGAAGTTTTCATGGTTATCATGGGTCAGAGTTTCCGCCCCCTGATGTTTGAAGTCTGCACAAACGTACACTCTTAGCTCAGGTGTCCCTTTCCCAGACACTTGTTGTGGTTGGCGCCACGAAGAAACTCAGATGCGAACCTGTACAGTCGATCGCGCCCAAAGCTCGCACCCTAAATGATCCGAAACCTCGAAAGTGAAAGCGAGCAAACATCCCTTGAGGTTCCCGCGATGTTTCGTAGCAGTCTACGTGGCCCTGGCCCATATGGATAAACCCGAACCGTCTCAACGCCCTAAAGGCTGAACCACGAGTTACAGGTGAAGATGGCACAGGAGAACCGACAGGTGCCAGTCTCCAGGGATGGTGGGCTGCGGAGCTGGGTCCTAAGGGATTGGAGATTCATAGTAGACTTGGCTTGCCCTAGCTTCTTGTTCTTTGATGTCCAGCCCCTGCAACAAAGACAGCGACAGAGGGAGGTGGTGTAAGCCTTGGTAGCAGCGAGGAAGTATGGCTTCAAGCTGCTACTTCGGTTCTCTTGATGCATTACTGCTCCTGTTCGTACTACTACTATCTCTTCCTCCCTTTGATGCCGATGCCACTGCTGCCGCCGTTTGAAGCATCGCGTTCGTGCCGCCCTGGCGGCGGCCCCCGGGGGCCGAAGACCGCCTAAGGCGGCGTCCCGGCTGAAAGAAGGCTTTGGACGCAGGCTTTCAAGTGTGGCGTGTGGCCGTGCATGCAGTGGGGGCTTCAGAATGCTTGAGACTTGGATCAACACCTTTTCTGGGGTCGGCTCAAAGTCTTCTTTCCGTTACTCGTCTTCGACGCATAAGGGCTGTCATCGCACTTGTTCAGTCTATTTCAGTCTGCTGGAAAAGGACTTGTTAAACATGCGAAATTTTGTATGGCTTCCGGTTTTGTTGGTTTATGTGTGTGCGTGTAAGTTCTAGCGACAGGGGATTTCGGCCACTGCAGAGGTTGACCGTGCGTCATATCCCGCCTAGAGGCCGGAGTCATAGTCTTGCCCCTCCATCATGCAGAGACTTCAGAGCAGAGCCAATGCAAGGACCGCAAAGCTAGGGAAGGGAACAGAGATCCGAGGTTTTCGGCGTGCCCTCCTATGGTTGGGAGATGTTTCCTTTCCCTCCAGCTGCTGCTGCTGAATGTGCAAGCGCAGGATCAACAGCTAGGCAGGAGCCCTGGGACCCTGACATTTCGAGCGACTTAGCAGCTCATGGTTCGATGGATTGCATGAAAGGCCCACCTGTGGACTTCAGTGTGGACTTTCCGCTGGAGCAGACCGAAGGCTGGGATCTGGAACCGTAAAAGCTGATGCTCAGCGAGGAGCTTTCTGTGAGTGACGTCAGATGATGTCAGAGTGTAGAAAATGAAGAAGCACATGATACTTAGATAACCTAAACATCGTAAATCTCTGTTTGAGCCGGAAGAGCCTCCTTCCTCAATGCAGAACGGCTGCTGAACGTGGTGTACGGGACATTTCTGCTCGATGCGGAGCCACACAGCTGCAAGAGCATCGTGCCGACCGGGGAGGGGCCACTTCGGATTCTTGTTCTGGGACGATTGTAGCTTGGAGTTTTGTTGCTGGAGCTTACGAAGAATTCATCATGACCGATGGCCGCAGCATCTGTGATGTCAGAGCTACTACTGCGACTGCGACTGCTTTCTGCTTTTGCCGCTGCTACTGCCGCTGCTCCTGCTCCTCCTCCTCCTCCTGCTCCTGCTCCTGCTCCTTCTCCTTCGCCTCCTCCAACTCAAACATGCTGGAACTAAAGATGGCAATCAGACCACTATTGCCACTACGAATGCCAGGATCGGTAAACGTTTGATTCGAGTTTAGAATGACAGTGATAATTTTAGTCCCCTCAGAGCTCCATGCCGAGGCTCGGCCTCGAAACAAACTTTGAGGACAT